CTCGGCATACCGGTTGGCCGAGGCTCGGACTTGATAGCTGGGCCAAGCACCGGTGGTTCAATGGGCCTGTGGCGTCAGCAACAGCACCTTCGACTGTTGCAAGAGGCAGTGCCGCTGGCTTGGCTACATGTTTTGCGAAGAGCGCCGGAAGTCACCGATGGTATGTGGTACAAACACAGTGGCTAAGTTATGCCGCAATAAGGAGACTTATTCGGACGTGACAGACATTCCCTAGTCGTGTTTTGGAGGTTCAAGGTGAAGCCTTTTCATTGGGAGAACCGCTGCAGTATGCAGAGGGTGCAATTCCTTTACCTCCTTTGGAACTGTTGCAACCTGTGTGCATCACAGAACAAGGGCACGGTTATCGGCCCTTTTTTTTGTCTGCAGACTCCGCCTTCGCACTTGTCAGTTGATCCTAGGGACTGGGCATGGCAGCATCTTCACCATCTGGACAAACTGCTTTATCTTTACGATTAGACTACCAAATTGGGATATCAGATGGCGAGACCACAAATTGATGTGAACTGGGGGGTAGCCGGGAGATAGATGGGGACGGGAGGGATTGCAGACTCTCTGCCAAGACTGTCCTGGGCAGTTCAATCTTTTGGGAGACAGCTTATGGATCTGACTAATAGCAAAGATGGCAGTTTTTTGTTGTGGTTAATGCATTTGTCCCTGCCAGTGGCTACTTGGTGTTCACGTAGGACAACGAAAGCCGGCGCATTCTGTACCATATGCCCGGGAATATGGGTGGAGGATGTTCAGCATTTTTTGCTGCAGTGTGACCTTGCACGACCTTTTTGGGACTGGTGGCGGTTTTCCAATGTTCCAGTTCCCAACGTGCAAGGTCGATGGGACGACCAGTTTGTGCTCCTGGGGACAGCTTCTAGACGACAACCGTTTTTTCGCCCTGGTGCACTCATGCTGAGGAGACTCTTCGCGGTGCTACTCTTGGGACTTTATGGAACCTCCGAAACTCAGCGGTTTCGCAGGGGGGAACAGTTAACCCCCCCCCCCCCCCCTTGATCGGGGSGGAGGTTAAACACAATCAAGTTGTCAATATCGGCAGATTGGGAACTGTGTGTTCAGAATAAAAGTTACTCGGCCAAATCCGTGAAATGGTTTCGTACCAGATGGGGAGCTTTTGATGTATTGTGTAAGGTTGTGTTGCCGGCAGGGGCTTTTCCTGCCTTGACTTTTTCTGATTTCTTTTTTCTGTGACATTGTGAGTCTGTGAGTCCATCTTGATGGTTTTTTCTGGATACTGACATAGGATAGGATAGGTGTGCATTTGATCTTTTACAAACATAGATACAAATATGGGTAGGGCATAGTTAGCTTTACACGAGGATAGGCTTTCTTTGCGTTCCAAGCATGTTTTGCCAGTTTTGCCATTTTTTGCCATTTTTGCAACTGAGTCTTGCTGTACTGGGGGGGCTGGGGTCTCAACGACAGGAGGACTGTTGGTAGGGATGGGATTGGCCGGGAGTGCCTTTCTAAGCCCAAAGTGACTGCGACATTCTTCATGTGAGGGAAGCCGGGCCTGTTTGCCGGGTTTTAATTGAAAGTCGTTTTTTTTTTTTAATTAAAAAAAGGAGATATAAAGTTATAACATAAGCCACTATATTTTTTTGTTGTTCTTTTCCCCTTCTTTGGGGAGTGGGGTGAGAGGGGGGTGCACAAATACTTTTTTTTTTTTTTTTTTTTTTTTTAATTAGGGGTGATCACAACTGTCTATATTCTTCTCTCAACTTCTGTTTGTTTTACCTTCCACTACCTACTCCTAAGATTATCTAGAGGGGACCCCTGCAAGCATAGTTTTCCTCTCTCTGTGAAGGGGAGATTTCATGTTGCCCCTTATAGGGTTGGGGCCGCCAGTGGGGGTCTGGCTAACACAAAGACCGAGACCTGCCAGTAGCTGTGCCTCCCTTTCTCATCGTCCCCCACCCTTCATCAAGTAGCAGCAGAGGCTATGGCCAACATTCTCCCACACACCACACACAACCCACTCACACTCACACTCACACTCACACCCGTGTTGGTCATAGACCCCGCTAATACCGATCAGGGGTATCCAGAGGACTATCACAGTCCGTTGGCACTAAGTGCGCCGCAGGCGGCCATGGGGCTTGAACCCACAACCTCCTGAATGCCACTTGCATGCCTAACCGACCTAGGCCGCTGGATTTTTTTTTTTTTTTAACACCCTAGATGATGCTACAAATACTTCATTTTATTCTTTTAATGCACGAATTAAGAGAGATTGGCGGTCGATCTTGGTTATGCATGGCCTGTACCTGGCTTAATCCTTGCAGGTGGGGGTCCTTTCCCCTGGATTTCCATACCAGTCCAAGTGCAGAATCTTCTCCTGGAGATGCAGATGGCCAGCTGCAAGCTGGAGGGGCTCTCTTTCTCTCTCAAGCATTGTGCAGAGGGCGCAAATCCATCGGTTGCACAGGCTGGAGGTAAATTCAGTAGAGTCACATAAGAGAGTTATAATTGCACTATGGGGCAAGATACAGTTTGCAATTGCCCTTTGGGCACCCTACCTGGTCAGGAAGCTGGGTTGTATACATTAGCCGAACAGCAATTCGAAACTGTATCTTGGCCCATAGTGCAATTATAAACTCCTTTTTGTGACTCCCATGATGTATTTTCCCTTATTATTTATGTATATTTATAACAGTTATTATTACTTTAGGAACCAATCAATGAGAAGTTGAGATCACTCATTGATTTCATTTAAATTCCGGAATGCGAAAGTGCATAGAAGACCAGGTGGTCCTCGCAGATTGGGAATACAAAGAAAGGATACTCTGCTAAATCACTCATTGACAAGCTGTTTGCTACTTGTCGGGGGGGGTGCTGGGGGGCTTGCTGGGGGGTTGTTGTCAATAGCCCATGAGGAAGGGAAAAGGCCAGAACAGAAATTCACTGCCTTTTGCTTATGATTGCTGTGGATACATGTACAAAGATTTTTTGGGCCAGGATGTCATGGATTTTTACAATGAAGTGTGACACAGGAGAAATGGGAGAGAGGGCGGGCCAAGGGATACTGACCCTTCATATAAAAAAGGGGACAGGGTGAATATCAGAAACTATCGAGCAATTACACTCCTCACGGTGGTGTACAAAATGTTATCTAAAGCCTTAGCCAATAGGATGATCCCGGTAATTGAAGACATTATTCACCCATCTCAAACTGGCTTCGTGAAAAATAGGAAAATACAAAAAAATATTCTTATCGTCCATGAGGTACTCCAGCTCGCATGACACTCCCGCCAAAATTCGGCCCCGATTTTTATGGATTTTGAAAAGGCCTATGACCACGTGGATTGACTTTTTCTCGATAAATGCTTGGAAAAAATTAATTTCGGTTCGGATTTTAGGCGATGGATACGAATCCTACACCAAAATGTAACCACGTGCGTTCAAGTCAACGGGTGCATAGCGCCACCCCTACGATTGGAGCGGTCGGTTCGTCAAGGTGACCCAACTGCCCCCTTCCTTTTTTTGATTATCATGGAGGCATTAGCCGCCAACCTCCGGACAACAAAGACATCATTAGAATTCATATCACACGTATTACGAAAGAGGCAATCCAGTGTGCTCTCTTTTCGCAGATGACCTCACAATAATGGCGGAAGCCACACATTGCAACATGGAGGAAATCCGACGGATGATGGATAAATTTGCCAGGGTCTCTGACATGACGGTCAAGTGGGGGAGCAAGACACAGAGATGGTGGATTCATTATCAAGGGGGGTGCGCCCTAGAGTTGCCGCACATTACATGGATGTCGTTAGAAGCCCCAGTGAGAATCTTAGGGGTATCAATGACTGTGGGGGGACGCCCACCAACCAATGATGGATGGATTAGCTTCCCAACTCAACAAAAACTAAACAACTGGAGAAATAAGCACACATCTTTGGAAGGTTCGAAAAAAAGCGGCGGCCTTCCTATGGAGGGTAGATTGTGAGCAGAGCAATGCGATTAACTGAGTGGCGTGGGACTCAATCATCCGGCCCAAGGCAAAGGGAGGCATGGTCACAATCGATCCAGCCATGCTGGTGCAAGCGCTACGGTTAAAATGGGTTCAAAGGCTTATTTTCGTCCACCAGAGCCCGTGGTGCGTGTTGGCCTTGGAGCATCTGGCCCGACTCGGCCCGGCAAGTGCGGCAACCTCCCAAGCGGTGCATCCGTTGACATGGCTGGAAGACCGATTTTGAACGATCCCGCGCAAACTCCCACAAGGGAGAGAAGGGTTCAACGGTGGAGAACAGGTAATGGACACCTTTTGTCCATCTCTACCGAATTCCTGACACAAGTTCCCACTCCTGGATAGAACCCACCCTGATTGATGGGAGGAGGTCTACCGGCAGCCCTTGTTTGGGAATAGGTGGGTGACAGACTTCAGGTGCCACATCATGTCAAGCTCGTCCCTGCCTTGGAAAAGTTGGGTCAAACGAAGAGTCCTTAGAGTTGGGGACCTCTGGGACAATGAGAGACAGGACTGGATAACAGCTGGTCAACTACGGGAAACCCTACGGTACCGCCACCATGTGGAGGAGCTGTTGGGTAACCTAATTGAGGCTATCCCTCTGGCATGGTATCGAATTCTCAAACGAGGCCCCATTCTGAGAGAAGGCGATTGGGTGGCAAGTAGGGAGATCCCACCGAGGATGGGCCAGATTCATATGGTCTCCCCCCAAACAGTCGTGACCGAGAATTACACTATCACCAAAATAGGTGTCCTCCAAGGGAGCAGAAACCCTTTTGTTTGGAAGGAGAGAGCGCCAGTGTACCGTGTGAGGGTCATAGAGGCAAAAGGACAGAAGGTGGTTTTCCAACCATTTATGGCGATCCAGGATCTGGCTCTGGATCCGTTGGCATGGACATGGAAGCCCCCTCAAAAGAGGGGAGGCCCCAATACTAGTCACATTAGCCTTTATCAACTATCGGTCAAATCGGCCTACAAAATGCTTAGACCCAAGCGACATCTGAGGGACAAGGTTAACGATCATTGGGCTAGGCACCTCAATGTGGACCGCACCCTCCTCACACCGATTTGTTGGTTCAAGAAACAAAAGTCCACGCCCATGAAAATCACCTCCCTACGATGGCAGATAGCTCATCGCTATCTGCCGACCAATGACTGGTTAACAGACCGCACTACCCTGGAGCAAAAAGGCCTGCTAGTGCCATGGTGCCAGCGGTGCCAGAGTCTTTTCCCTTCCCACAAGAAGGCGGAAACCATTGAGCACATTTTCATGCAATGCCCAATCGCTCTATTCATATGGAGGTGGTGGGACCGCATTTGGCGAAAAATGGAAACAAATATCCCTTGGCCTTGGTCATGGCAAGCCATACTGGCCGGGCATTGGCCGACGACAGGAGAAGCTGCGACCTTTGTAGAAAATATGTACAGATTGGGAAGGAGGGCGGTGATATGGGCTCTCTGGTGGCACATGTGGACCCTGGCTCTGGAAAAAGTGAGGGGAGAAACATTAGATATTACAGAACAGATTCAGCAACAGGTGCAGTTTGAACTCGTGCAAAGGTGGTCGGATACAAAGGCACAACTATATCTTTTTAGACAAGTTGGTCATGCTAGGAGAGTGATCACAACATTTTGCATAGACTGGGTAGGAGGGGAGATAGAAGGGTGGATTGCCAAGGTGGAATGGAGTGGAGATAGGGGAGATAGACAGGGGGATTCGGAGCAAATGAGAGATTACCTCCTAGTCTTTAAAGACTGGACAAATATAGAGCCCTCGTTCCCACTACGCCATCCCTCTGATTTCCCAGACCCCTTCCCACCTCATGCCCGCTCCCTAGTGGAAATTCTGTCCTCAAAATGGCTAATCATACATTGCCACACTCACACATGCGTACAATGGAGTTCCTTTTTGGAGCTTCCCGGGGAGGACCCCACTTGCCTACAGAACCACTTGCCACAATTACTATCTGCTGCTCAGTTAACCCCCCAACCTTCTGGGGTAGTCAATGCTGGCAGCAACATCTGAGATTCGGAGCTGACATAGGTTATGCAACAGAGAAAGAAATTCCGACAGATTACAGACTCATCTTCAATGACTGGACCCACATTGACCCAACCTTCCCGATGAGGCCCCCGTCTTATTTCCCAGATCCATTCCCCTCTCACCCCCTGGCCCTGATGGAAGTTCTCATATGACTTGGCTGCAAGAGCGTGACTTGAGCATGACCTGATCTCGACAGGATCACGACATGATCACGACATGATCGCAACAAGATTGCAATAAGACTGGACCGGACGAGCCTGAGATAAGCCTCCCCGGTGCCCTCTGGGTGTTGCTTGCCGAAGGCCCCTCCAAAATCATCAAGGTTCTCACAAGCTGCACAGGTGCACATGGGTGCGCCTGAGTGGACGGGATGGCTTGTGTGTTGGTACATTCAGCTCTGGAGGGCAGTAGCCCTTGTATGCGTAGTCAGAAGTCGTCCACTCAGTTAACCCGGGGTTTTCCCCTGGGCAATCGATGCTGGTGGAAGTCAGAGTCTCTCAGGCCTTTGCTCCAAACTCTTTCCAAACTCTTTCCATAACTTTGTCCACATACTTTGTGAATGGGACGCTGGACCTGGTTTCCAGCAGGTGCTGCTCCCCACCAATAGACGGAGCTTTTTTGTGTTAAAAAAAAATTGAAGAAAAAAAAAAGCATTTCTAGCTTTCCAGCATTCTGAGTACTTCCTATATTCATATACTATGAAAAAAAAAAGTTGTATTCATGGGATGATGGACCCGGTTTCCAACAGGTGATGCTCCCCACCAATAAATGGAGCGGCCCAACAGGCAAAGCCTCAATTCCGGTGGTTCTCCTACCACCACTGGGTTAGGGGCCTTGCTCGCATAAGGGCCTTCACAAAAAAAAAAGGAAAAAAAAAAAGGATGCAGATAGCTGGGAATGGTATGTGATATAGGTACAACATTGTCGAAACAGTAATGGAAACAGTCATGAACAAGTCATGGACAGTCGTGGACAGTCATAGACAGGTTTGGGTGGTGGTAGATAGTTCACATAGATAGAAGTAGATAGAAGTAGATAGAAGTAGACAGGAGTAGATAGAAGTAGATAGAAGTCGATAGTCGTATGTAGTCCTCCACGGTCCTCCACAGTTCTACACAGTTCTTCGTAGTTGTTCATAGTTGTAGTTATGCGCTGATTGCTGTAGAGAGTAGCACCTAGCTGTACCTGGTTTTACATCATTGTGATGGGCAGTTGATTGGCGTTTTTTTTTTTTTTTTTTTTTTTTTTTTTTTAAGCCCAGTGTTGTAGAGGTGGGATACTAGACCAATGAAAGTTACCCACAGTACACGGCCACTCGGTTGGGATGCTAGACCAATGGCAGTTACCCACAGTGCACGGCCACTTGGTTGTCTGGCTGAACCCCGCTGAAGACCCCACCCACCCTTCCTCTCATCATTTTT